CGACATGACCGCCCTCTTTCCTTTCCTCTTATCTTCAAGCATAACCTCAAGCAACTTGTCCAACTTTGCCTCAAGTGGGGCACTCGCTCCCACACTTCTTACTCCCCTTTCATTACTTCTTCTTCCACTTCTTGTCAACCCCCAATCATATCCCCTCAGGGCCATGTCTTCGAGTACCTCGTTAATTTGGGTCGGAGCCATATTCATAAGTTTCCCTTGACACAAGGAGTCAATGAGGATCTTGTCTTCTTGCATAAGGCCTCCGTAGAAGGTTTCGATCCGGAACTGTTCTTCAAACTCGTGGTGTGGGCATTGAAGAAAGTAGTCGGAGTACCCTCCCAAGCATCCCTCGAAGTCTCGTCCTCCTCTTGCTCGAAATGTGTAATCTTCTTCCTCCACTCCGCCGTCTTCGAAGGCGGGCAATATCGAGCCATAAACTTGTTGAGGAGGTCGTCCCATGAGTTGATCGACCGAGGTGGGCGGTTGTTTAGCCACCTAAGTGCCTTCCCCGAGAGTGAGTAGGGTAAAATCCTTAGTTGCAAAGCTTCGGCCGGCACACTGTTTATCTTCAAGCTCCCTGCGAGCTCCAAGAACCTCTGCACGTGCTCTCGAGGTGACTCGCTCTCTAAACCATGGAATAGAGAGTTACTTTGTATCATGTTCACCAAAGCCGGCTTAATCTCGAAGTTGTTTGCCGCCACCGGAGGATGTAGGATCGGCGATTGAATATCCTCCGGTCTTGGGGCCATGTAGTACCCCCATCATCCTCGGGGCCTCCTCATCCTCTGGCGCCTTGTTCATTTGACGATTTTGAGCGCCTCCATCTTGCCTTTGATTACCCGCCATTTCCTCTACAACAACGGGTTGACCCCCAATTTCTTCAAAAACTTCCTCTTCTTCACCTTCTTCTCCACTAACACGGGGACCAAACTGTTGTCCCCTTATTTCACTTCTCCTCCTTGCCTCGGCTAGCTCCCTCTCCCGTGCTAGGAGTCGGAGAGTTCGGTTTATTTCCTCATCGAGCGGTAGTAAAGGTGTCGGGTTACTCCGGGTCATGCACCACCTACACACAATCGAGAAAACACACCAAATCTAGCACAAACAAATAACACACACTTGCAAAAACTGGAAAGTAAAAGCTAAATTAACAACCAACGAATTTTTCAAGATAACATACCGTTGTCCCCAGCAAAGGCGCCAAAAACTTGACTCGTTCCGAATACCACAAGAAAATCCCATCTAAGGCCCAAGTATAATCCTTAGTCAGGTGTAGGATAGGAGAAGTATGTTTAAATATCAACCCGGGCCTGTCCGTCTACCCCTACTTCAATCGTTGGATTCATTATCTAGCAATCAAAGGTTTGGTTTAAAAGTTTGCAAAGTAAAATAAACTAAGGCAAAGGTAGTTGGTTTTGAAAACTCTTTGTGGGAAGATCACTTGGGTGTTGCTTCCCCCTAACTCCTACCATGGTACGTGCACCAGAATGATCGCTTTGGGCGAGGCAAACACTAACCACTAAGGGACGCGAATGTAATCATATACCACTCTCAAGATTTCTAAACCGAGGCATGCATTATAGGCTGTCACGACGCCCTCTCGGTTTAGCCAATCTCAGGTCGACTTACTCACTCTCTTCAACCCAAGGGTTGGATGGCTAATAGTGCTTTACCAAATTGTTCAATTCAATATTAAGGTTTGCCCTAAATTAACCTAGTTGGAAGGCTTGGAAAGCCCTAGGGAAACCAACTCAATTAAGACTCCCTTAGAAGGGGAGGCTTCCCTCTCTAAACTAGGTTAAATGGCTAGATGGATTGCTAAGCATAGACATGCACACCCCTTAGGGAAAACCTAAGGTTGCTAAGCATAAACATGCTCAATTAAATGAAAAATACCTCAACCATTGAATTAAACAATACCCAATTGTAATAATTCACATACACATAAAGAAAACTACATGGTAGAGTTAGGGTTTCACAACACCCAAGTGAAAGGGAAAACTACTCCATACTAGAAGTGAGGAAAACACAAGGAGAAAAGAAGAAAACCATCTTGAAGGATGCTCCCACTCTTGTTAGTCCTTGTGCTGGAATTGCCTTGAAGGAATTCTCCTCAAAAACCATCTTGGAGCAAACCATAGCTTTCTTCTTCCCTTGTTTCGTGTTTCTCTCTCTAGACTGCAGAAGAAAGTTTCTCTCACAAAGTGGCTCTCTCCCTCTTCTCCTATGATCTCACATTTTATATCAGGGACGATCGTCGTTCACCGCCTAAGTTCATGGCCGTGAACCATCAAACGCGTCCGTCAACTCAAGCCGTGAGCCAAAACGCGCCGCTTTGATCATGCCCGTTCACGGTCAATGGCCTTCGTTTACGGTCTTAGTGACCGTGAACACACCTTGCGTCAGTAACCTGTCAAAATGTTATGGACGCCTTGCGATTTAAAGTCAGCAACACTTCTTCACGGCCATGCAAGGCTGTGATATTCATCTCCAAGCCGTGAACTGCCCTTTTTCACCTCTTTTCCCCGTTTTCGATCCTTTTCGCCGAACTTTCAACTCCAAGGCTGGTTTCACCTGTTAATTCCTTAAACATGCTAAAACACGAGAAACCTAGCGTAAAACCAAACTTTTAGGAGCGAATTTGCCACAAACATCTAAGTAAAACGATGGTAAAACATGTACAATTAAGCCCGAATCAGGGGCCTAGTCCACTGTCAAAATCTTTGATTTGAGGGCCTAGAGTACGTGTCCCTTGCAATGCCTGCTCAGTATGCTTCGAATTGACAGTCTTTGTGGTGGTATGCAACCTAGGGAGGTAGTTGTAGCATTATGGAGGATGCTGAAGTATAAGATTTTTCCTATTTTTCTCCTTGTTGTGCCGGTTGATTGTGCGAACTAGTGACTGTAGGACCCATGATTCATGTGGTATTGATGACCCCTTGGATGTTTCAGACTTTTGTATCGTGAAAGGATGCTCTATTGTGCTTAATAAGAGGCAGTTGGTCCTCCATGTTAAAATATTAAGAAATTTCGAAACATGGGGTAAGCGCAACGTGTGTGGCACTGTTCATTGCACAAAATCGGGTTTTGGAAGAGATTTTAGTGATCTTTGGTGGGGTACTCCTACAAGGTGAAGCTAAGCTTTCTCTAGTAGCAAAATTTCCACCGGCTAAACTGTTTGTCTACTCGAGGATGTGTTTTTAAGGGCACGGATAGAGCTTCCGACCACCCTTAATTTCATTGACCCTCCGCACGAATTGAGGAAAAGGAGTTAAGAGAAGTACACTGGTGAGTGACAGATTTACAGAAATTGCTCTTGCTCAACCAATAAGGGTCGACCGCACATAACTGCAATTCGGAACCCCAACAATAAATGAAATCAAATGAAAAGAAAAGAAAAAATGGAGTAAGAGAAAGGGGTTCCAACAAATGAAATGAGAAGAGCACCCGATAAGAGAGTCCATGTGTGTGTGTTGTGTGAGTCTCTTTGGCATGATTTTGGTTTGAGTCTAGTACTCGCATTGAGAGAGATGAGGGGTGTCTTAGAAGACTGGTTCACCTTGTATGTTGCTAAATGATCTAGGAAGTCCTCTACCGACGATCGGGGTTGCATGCTTCTGTAAAGGTCTAGAGAGTTGCATTAGTTTGAGTCAGTTTTCCTTGTGGACAAGCAAACAGTTAAGCGTGGGGGAATTTGATAATGCATTTGAACATGTTTTCCCCATCATTTCTTGATCGTTTGAGCTCGCTTTCTCGCTTTAGTGGCCTATTTACGCTAGGTTGTGTTGGTTTATAATGTTTCATATCCTAGTATGTGAATGGGTGCGACGGGGCGAGTTTTGGAACATATGAAGCAAACTGGCAGAGAGCAGGGAAAAATTACGCCCATACCTTCAAAGTTACGGTATGGACCGTAAATTACCCGTGAGCCTGTAACTTCAGAGAAGCAAAAGGCCAGGAATCCAGAAGAATTTTTGAAGCTACAGGCCAGACCTACGAAGTTACGGTCATGACCGTAACTTTAACTCAGCACCCGTAACTCTGGGGAAGCGATGACAAAGGTTCCAGGAGCGCTTTTGAAGTTATGACACCCTCCTCCAGGATATGGTCAAGCCCGTATCTTCACTGGATAAACCGTAACTCCTGAGATACGGACTACTAAAACGCAGAGTTTTGTAAAGTTAAGGGCGGAGCAAGGAAGTTATGGTCGTAACTTTGCCCGTAACTCACGAAATTTCTACTATCAAAAGACCAGCTCGGACAAAAGGCAAAGGAATCCGGATTTTTTAGTTCAAAAGAGTAGAGAGAGAACCCTAGAGAGAAAGCGACAAAGAACAACCCTTGAGAAAGGATTAGACCAATTTGAAGACCTCGGAGCTCGATTCCTCACTCTCGGAGTACCGATTAGCCGCCAGGAGAAAATTCTCATTGTCTACATGATGATTTCTCTTCCTAGCATGATGTTTCCTCTTCTCTCCATGGATTAAACTCCCTTTTCATCTGGGTATAAAGAACCCTAGTTTTGTATGTTAGGAATGGTTGTATTAATCCCATTTGCGAATGATTGATTTGATATATTCAATTGAGGCATTAATAATAATTTCATGTGTCTTGATCAAAGTTTTGTGATTCCTGCTTTAACCTAGAACGATAGTCTCTGAATAGGTTCAAAGAGAAACCTTAAATTGGAAGTGGTGAATCGATTGCTTTAGTCGAGAAATCGATTCACTGCTCTATACTGGAAGCCAGTAGAGGAAGTTTGGTGTGTTATTTCCTTGGTTGGTTTATGTCGGTGGAGGTTAGTCGCCGGCCGGATATTCGAACTGAGAGAGTCTGTATTACTTTAGTCGAGATTCCAAACTAGTCAAGAACTCAATCGGAGTAAATTGGGAACTTATAATCTGAATTAGTTGCATACTAGGGAGAAACTTACCTTGATGACCCTTAGCATACTTGAAAAACCAGAACATTTCCTGCTTTCAGTTTAATTTACATTTGAACAACTCACTACACTCTGTTCGCTAGATAATAGAAGTTTACGGAGTAGGCAGTAGATCTAGACCCAAGGTAGATATTAAAATTAAACCACTATTCTTCATTTCCATCCTACGGTGACACTCGGTGGTAGTTTGGTGATGTTTTCTACCGAGTCACGTGGTCACGATGCTCACAAGAAGGGGATTGTAGTCAAGCTTCCGGAGGCCATTCGGTTTACCAAAGATTTGGGAGGCCACCCTGGGGCGAGCGTTGGTCGGAGATCTATCGGGAGCATCAACTCTTGGTCGAGTAGTGGGTTCAGGCAAAGCCCCGTCGTGCCACGACTAGGTAGCGGCTCCGAGGGCACATCTATTCTGGGAAGGCCTTCATTAGAGCCCGGGAAACGGGTATCTCCTGCCCTGCTTGCGAAGGAGGTGACCCACAGGCACCCCAGGTTGGGGAGTCCACGACCTTCGGGCTCGGCTTTGCCTATGTCAGTGCCAACGAGTGGTTCCCGAGCTCAGCAACTAGAAGATGTCGTCGGGATCGACTACGAGGGTCGCTTAGAGATGAGCGATTCATTTTCATGTTAAGCTTTTTACTTTTTGGTGAGCGCCTGGGTTGGTAATTTTGACTCTAACCGCTGTTTATTAATGATGGAGATGGTGAAACAGTCCGTGTCTACACACGTCCTCATGTTGGCCGCAGCGAAGAGGACAAGAGAGTCTACCAAGGCGATGAGTGAGTATGATGACAACTTCTTTTCTACAAGTTCCACGACATCAGTGCCGTAAGTGAGCGCATATGGTGTGTCTCCGATGATTGTCTTGTATGTGGTACGGTGAGCCCACAAAACATGTGAGAGTTCTTCCACGCACTTTCCTTTGGCGTCATCCAGTTACGTTTTCAGCCCCCACGAAATGATTTTGTTGGCTGACTCTACTTGACCGATGACCTGAGGTTAGGAGACAGATGTGTATCGACAGAGAATACCATACTAAGCACAGTACGCTTGGAGATCCTGACTTTTGAATCATGTTCCTTGGTCTAGCAGAATGGTGTGAGGGAGGCTAAACCGACAAATGATGTGAGTCCACAGAAATTTCAAAACTTGTTGGGTAGTCATGCCGGTTAGAGCATCAGCCTCTATCCATTTGGTGAAATACTCGATAACGATCATTAGATACTTTTTTCTTCCCCAATTCTGTTCTAAAAACTCTAAATCCCTAATCCTATTTCTAAATACCTAATTTCTCAATCTCATCCCCTAAATTTTCTATCTTTGCGAGTAACATATGTGCTTAACATAAGTTTCTAGAAACTCTAGAGCGGGTTCGAACAGATTTTGATGTCTATATATAGCCAGCTTATGTTATCATTATGTACTTGTTTGTTTGTAGACTATGTTTAATTGTTTATTTGAATTCAATCTATATATAGTTTAATTAATAGTGAGATGAGGAAACAACAATACCATTTCGAAATCCCTGCCTCCAGAAGAGTTTTGCGGAGGAGCTTTTTGGGGAGACGGGAAAATAATTAAACTCCCGAGACGGTCTTTGATGGAAGGGTTTGAATTAATTGAAGGGTAAATACAATATAATAACCAAACCTTTCATTTTTAACAAAATAATAGTTTTTCGAAAACAATTTAATAGCCAAACCGTCAACTTTCCGTCTGATCAACTGTTCGTTGACTTTTGACGTGGCAAACTATTTGCTGAGATAGAATATTGTTTATGATGTGGCAACAGATATTTAAAAATGTGAGTTTTTATTAAAAACAACCAATTATAATTTTTACATTCATTTCCTTCCTCCTCTTTAGCACCTTCGTCGTCTTCTTTCTTTCGACCCACAAAACAAAATACAAACCAATGAAACCCATATTGCCTCCGCTGATACCGGTCTTCTCACCACTGTCGTCGCCTCCGCCCTATTCAGAGATTGAACACAACAAATTGCATCCACCAACGTCGACTAATCCCAATCCCAAAACCCCAATCTCAATCCCAATCCCAAAACCTAATCCCAATCGCATAACCCTGAACAACGTCGAGAAATCTTAAAACACAAATAATCGTCGGCGGGATTTTGAAGAAAATTTAAGAATCCCAATACACAAATCATCCCCCAGGTAGCCCAGCTTTGTTGTTTGGGGAGAAATTTTCCATCATCGCCGAGCAAGCCCAAAGAGAGAGAGAGAGAGAGAGAGAGAGAGAGAGAGAGTTGGGTTCTCCAGGTAATCGTTGACCTCTTTCCAGGCGATGACGAGGCTTTCTCCTAGCCAGATCTATCACTTAAACATAACCCACGGAGGACGACGGTGAAGGAAGGTGGCGGTTGAGAGTTTAGGAGGACTAGGAGCTCCCTTGGTTTTCGAAAACCCTCAAGTCAAAGTGGGGGATGAAGTCGACATGCATCTCGGGGAGCTCACTGCTAGGTGACAAATAATCAAATTCAATCTAAATCGTAAAGAACGCTCGAGGTTTTTTAACGTGGTATCGTCAATATGACACTAGTCCACGGAGAGGATCTCCCTCTCAGGTTTTGGTATTCTTATTTTCGTTGACCTTCATCAACACATACAGCAAGGTATTTATAGGTTTGCTAACACAAACCCTAACTACATAATTACATATTGGTACCTATACTAAATACAATCAACACCCTCCCTCAAAATGATGTTGGGTTCTTAACATCAATTTGGAAGATATGTACCAATGTCTACTTGAGGAAACAGCCTTTGTCAACAGATCAACTATCTGTTCCTTGATTGCCAAATAACTTAGCTGAATCTCGCCTTCTGCAACCAACTGTTTGATATAATGAACATGAACCTCTATATGTTTTGTTCGATCATGCAGCACTGGATTATTAGCAATCTGAATAGCACTGGTAATATCCCCATATATACGCATAGGTAGTTCGCACTTTACTCCCAATTCTTGGAAAAGTCTCTGCAGCCAAACCATCTCTAAGCTAACTTCAGAAATCGACCGATATTCTGCTTCTGTAGATGATTTAGATACTTTATCATGCTTTCGACACCCCATCACTAGGAAAGAATAATCCAACCTGGGACGTGTGTTTTAGATACCGAAGTAACCTGTGAACAGCATTGAGATGAGTTGTACGAGCAACCCACATGAACTGACTAACTACCTGTACTGCATAGGCTATATCTGGTCGAGTATGGGTTAGATAGATCAAACTGCCTACCACACTACGATAGTAAGATTGATCTTCCAACAATTCACCATTCTCCCTGTTAAGTTTCAAATTCTGTTCCATGGGTGTACTACACGGTTTGCATGAATGATAATCTGTAGCTGTTAGAAGATCATGTATATACTTCTTCTGACTCACAAACAGTCCCTCTTTAGAGTGATTCACTTCCAAGCCCAGAAAGTATGATACCTCATCAAGTTCCTTTAGGTTGAAGGCCGAGTGGAGGGACGCGGTGAGTTCACGAATACCATCACTATCACTGCCAGTCACGATCATATCATCCACGTAAAGTAACAAAACAATCATCCCATGTATCGTGTGCCTAATGAACATAGATGGGTCGTTATCACTCTGCAGAAAACCAGCTTGAAGAATCGTTCCATGAAATTTCTCGAACCAAGCTCGAGGTGCCTGTTTTAAACCATACAATGACCGATGAAGTCTTAAGATCACATCCTTCCCCCCCCCCCCCCTCCCACCCCTTGGAGTAGCCCTCAGGACACTCCATATAGATAGTTTCCTTCAGATCGCCATGTAGAAAGGTGTTCTTCACATCAAACTGAATAATAGGCCATTGCTTCATGGCAGCCGCAGCAAACAAACTCCGAACAGTCTGCATTTTGGCGACCGGAGCAAAAGTTTCATCGAACTCAATCCCATACTTCTGTTTAAAACCTTGAGCCACTACCCTAGCTTTGAAACGCTCAATAGAACCGTCAGGAAGCATTTTAATAGCATACACCCAACGACTTCCAATCACAGAAGCACCGGGAAAACGAGGAACCACATCCCAGGTATGTTGAGCCTCCAACGCATCAATCTCTTCTGTCATGGCCGCATTCCAACGCGGATCATCCTTTGCAAACCTGTAGTGAGTAGGAATAGGGATAGCAGGATCGGTGGAGTAGCTTACATAATCATAATCTATATGGTAAGATGGAGGTTGGCCAAGATTGGCCCGATTCGAGCGACGTGGAGCGGGAAGTGCGGGAGGAGCAGTGATTTCATGGAGCTCCCTAGCCGAAGTAGAGGAAGAAGCACCCGATGAAGACCCAGCTTGAGAAGAGCCGCCAGCTACCGAGGACTTACTGGAGGTGAGCGAGACCGTCTGAGCAGGAGGAGTATGAGGTGGGGATTGCAATAAACCATCAGCCCCTTCCCCAAGTGGAACATTATCAATATTATCATTGTTATCAGGAGGCTCATGTGGCGGACCATGCCCACCAGCGAGGGAGTCAAAGGTTGGCAGCTGAACAAGAAAGTCAAGGGAAGATAAATCAGCTGCCGATGAGGCTGAATAATACATAAGCTCCTCCAAAAACGTGACGTGACATGAAATGCGCATCCTACGTTCAGCAGGATCATAACATAGATACCCTTTATGTTGTGAGCTGTAGCCCACAAAGACACACCGAGCAACCTTAGAAGTGAGCTTATGACGCGCCTTCTTGGGAAGTAGGACAAAACAAACACAGCCGAAAACTCGAAGCCGCGAGTAATCGGGAAGCTTATCATACAAGCAGTGATATGGAGATCGATCACCCAAGACAGACATAATTTGGCGGTTAATTAAATAGACCACCGTACTCACTGCCTCCACCCAGAATGTAGTAGGAACATGGGAATGAAAAAGAACAGCACGGGTAACTCAAGAACATGCCTATGTTTGCGTTCAACCAGGCCATTATGCTGAGAAACTCCTAGACAGGATTGCTGGGGAAGAATACCACGAGACTTATAAAACTCAAGCAAGGGAGAAGCAATAAACTCCCCGCCAGGATCAGATTGAATAACCTTCACCCGTCGACCAAACTGAGTCTCAACCATTTGGAAAAAAGTCTTGGCATGATCCACAAGCTCCGACTTCTGACGCAAGAAGTATATCCAAGCATACCGAGTATGATGATCCACAAATAACACAAAGTAGTGGAATCCCATGCGAGAAGTGACTGGGGAGGGCCCCCACAGATCAGTATGGACAAGATCAAACGGAGAAGTATATTGTATCTCACTGGCAGTGAAGGAGGACTGGGTGGCTTTAGCCTCAATACAACTAATGCACGGATGATCAGGATGATATTTGGGATCAACAGAATCGAATAAAAGATTACGACGAAACATATGCAACAAACAAGCAGTATGAAGATGACCAAGACGATAATGCCATAAATCCCAAAGAGAAACCGATTTTAGCAACTTACAATTCCCAGAATCCAAGGTCTTAACCGAAAAACCAAACAATTGTGAAGAATCCAAAGCACATGTCTCAACAGCATTATTCAAAGAAGGAGAACATTTAGAATTCGCCAACGCAGGGCGCAAAGAAGCAGCTCCAAGACCTTCCCCCACGGTCGGATCACAAGCACCCAGCTGCTGCCGCCGATAGTGATCCAAAACATAGACTCGTGCATCCTTCTTACCCGTTCCCAGAACCTTTCCGGTTTTCCGATCCTGCACAATACAACCGTGATCATTAAAAGTCACGGCACACCCATCCTCGATCGACTGTCCAACAAAAACCAGACTGGGAACCAACTGAGGTACATAGAGAGTATTATCCAAACTGATAGAACCCGAACGAGCAGCACCAAGACCAGAAATCGGCAAGTGATCGCCATTAGCCACTTGTAATGATCGCATAGGGGTGGAATTAAGAGAAGTAAAACTCTGTGAAGAATTGGTCATATGGTTAAAAGCAGCAGAGTCCACTAACCAACGGGGGGATTTACCTGGAGCAGTACCGGTAGCAAAGGATGAATTTAACAGCTGGGGAATAGCATCTTGTAATGCCGCAGAGATCATTTGACGGACATCCTCAGAAGTAAGGGTCTCCCCGGAAGTTGCTGAGGTCGTCGTGGGAGGAGCGCCACCTTGCGGAGCGGGAGAAGAGGGAACGACAGCATACCCAGAACTCGAGGAACCAGCAACTTTAGGTTGGTGATTCGGTTTATATCCACCCTTCTTAGCAAGGACTTTGCAGTCCATAATGACATGTCCAGACTGTTTGCAATAGATACAGAGATTACGACGCTTGCAGTGAGGCTGGATATGACCACGCTCATTGCAGAAATGGCCAACCACCACTACAGGAAACAGTCTCTTTAATCATGGTAAATCCCGTATTTAAAAGTGTGTTTCCCGTGTTTAAAAACTTTAGTCACGGGAAATTTACCGTAATATAAAGCTCCGTGTCTAATTGTAAAGAACACGGGAAATATATACCGTGCCTAATTGTAACTAGGCACGGTACATTTTCCCGTGCTAATTTGCACATATTAGTCACGGTGAGCACCGTGATTGATACCTAATATTGAAACACAAATTCAACAAAATAACTCAATCAGAGACGGGGAAGTACACCTTTTACTACGGTAATCACCGTGTTAAAATCGTTTCCCGGGATTAGATGTCAATCATCGGTCACGGTTTTTAGTACTTGTAGTGACTAGTTATCCCGTGACTGAATATTTGTCACTAGTCACGGCAATTGCCCGTGCCTAATTACAAAGCATTTGTCATGGTATTTTCTCGTGACTAGATACAAACCACTATTCACGGCATTTCCCGTGACAAATTACAAACCATTGGTCACTGTAATTCCCATGACTACACGGAGATCACTAAACACGGGATTTCCCAGGACTACCCAGAAACCACTAGTCACAGTATTTTCTGTGATTACATGCATACCCCTGGCCAGAGTGTTTCTCTAAAGCAATAACAGCAAATTTTCTTGCTACTAAATATAAACCGATTGTATTAAAGATTCTTGTCAACAATAGTGTAATAATATAGCAATCTAATAATTCAAACGTTGTAGCTAATAATTCAATAATGGTACAATCTACTTTGCTTTCTTGCACTCTGCCCATTCAACGATCTTTGCCAATCCTTGCACCATAACAACTCAGAATATCTCCAATTCATTTCTTGTATTTACAACTTCCTATAGCTCACCAACCCTAAAAGCACAGCAACAACAAAAGTGCATGAGAATTAGCACCATTGTTTAGATAGTATGAAATGAGTAGAGTTGCAACAGAACCTACACTTATACAATTTTCAACAATAATATGATCCACTACTATCGAGAGAGTTCCTAGCATTTGCTAAAACCAATCACATTGCACTTGCTTTCCTGACTTGACTTACATCATTAGTTCCTTTGATGCTGCCAAACAATCTGCTGCCAAATAGTCTGTTGCAGAACAGTCTGTAATAAGGAACATTGTAATATGAGCAAACTAGACATGGTTGACAACACAAAACACTTGGCAATAGTAGATATAACAAAAAACCAGAACTAAACATTACCAATCAGTAGGTTGAACCATTTCACTTGCTTCACCAGCAGCGTTATATTCATTTTCCAACACATCCATAGCTCGGGGTAACACCTTTACAGCCAAGTGCCAATTCTTATTCATATTGTCTTCTGCATAAAACACCTGGGATACCTGACTTGCTTGCACAAATGGCTCATTTGTCTTAAGCATTCTGTTAAGGTTGACACTCACAAACCCATGCTCATCCACTTTCAACCCTTTTGTCTTATCATATACATCACACCAATCACACCTAAACAAAGCAAGTGATCTTCCTCCAAGAAATAGTCTACTGCATTCACCTCAACTCCATCATCACCAACTACAACTCAATCACCTCTCTCAAAACCCCATAATAGTCTACTGCATTCACATCAACTCCATCATCACCAACTACAACGACACCATAATTTTGTGTCCTCAAATTCTTGTCATGATCCTTTGTGTGAAAGTGAAAACCATTTAGCACATAACCTGAATAATATTTGACGCTTTGAGCAGGGCCTCGTGATAGTGCCAATAGCTCATTCGACCTCTTACTCTTATTAGGTTCGTAGGAGTTTGCTACCTGCAATCGATAATTTTACAGCACATTTATGGAAAGAAGACGGAGAGAGAAAACTGTACAGCTACACAAAAACAATGATTACAAGACTTTATCTGAAAAGGAAAGCATAGACTGAAAAGGGAAAAGGACTTACCATCAACTTAAACATGATTAAGTTTTGTATTCACCAAGAAGTATAAAACTAACCCACCAGCAAACATTTTGATTTTGACTTACAATTATAAAAAAAGTTAGAACATACCTTTTGCCTGAACCAAGAAATGAACCCTGCATCATCCTTCTTATAGTTTCCTCCCAACAAGTCATGCTCACAAAGATGAGAAAATTCTCTACAACAAGTAATAACATAATTAGAAACATCGCATCAACAAATAAAGAGATCGTTAAAACAATAATGAAAATCTTACTCGAGAAATGGTTGTACTTCCTCCGTGTTCTTCATCACATAAATGTGTGCTTGCTCTAATTCTTGTGGACTAAGGCTGCGAACGTTGGCATTACTACCCAAGAATCGGCCGACTTGTGAGAATTCAAGAAAGTCTTGAAAATCATTTCCATCATAATTCCTATCCACCCTGTTGAACTTTGTTTGTATTCCACTCAAGTATCTAGAGCAAAGAGTCATGCATTCCGAGGCGATATATCCTTCTGCAATGGAAGCCTCAGGATGCGTTCTGTTTCGAACATATGACTTCAAATCATGCAAATATTGCTCAATAGGGTACATCCATCTAAACTGTACTGGTCCCCCAACCATAGCCTCGTCAGCCAAATGCACAGGTAGATGTACCATAACATCAAAAAAATGCAGGAGGAAAGATCTTCTCAAGTTTACAAAGGGTCACTGGAATTCTAGCTTTGATTCTATCCAACTCTTCCACATTGAGTGATTTTGAACACAAGCTCTTGAAATAGAGTGACAATTCTATTAGAGGGTCACAAACATCCTTTGGTAAAAGACCACGTATTGCAAGTGGAATAAGATGTTGTAGAAGAACATGACAATCATGGCTTTTTAAACCAGATATATTATGTTCATTTACATTTACGCAATGAGATATGTTAGACAAAAAGCCATCAGGAACCTTCATTCTCTTTAAGAAGTGACAAAACTTACGTTTTCCATCTCGCATCAATGTGTACCTTGCTTGCGGCATATCCATTTCCTCATTCACGATTGGGATGCAATTCTGCTCTTAGTTTCATCTCCACCAGGTCAAGGCGGGCTTTCATAGTATCTTTGGTCTTTCCCTTCAAATTCATGATTGTCCCGAGAACATTATCACAAACATTCTTCTCAATGTGCATCACATCTAAATTATGACGCAACAAAAGTGTTTTCCAGTATGGAAGATAAAAAAAGATGCTCTTTTTCTTCCAATTGTCTCCTCTTTCATCATGTGATATCTTCACTTTCACTTTTTGACACTTTGTTAAGGGATTCCCTTCAAGATCTTGTACTTGATCAAGTACTTCATCTCCCGAGAATATTCTTGGCTGCCCTCGTTTCTCAATTGTCCCATCAAATGCATCTTTGTCTTTTCTCCACCTATGACCATTAGAGAGCCAACATCGATGACCCATATAACAAAACTTCCTTCCGTTATACAACCACTCATACTTCGTATCCTTACTGCAAACAGGACAAGCCAACCGTCCCTTTGTACTCCACCCCGATAAGTTGGCATAAGCGGGAAAATCATTGATTGTCCACAACAAGGTTGCCCGTAAGTGAAAATTTTGCCTTTTGGATGAGTCAAAAGTAGTCACACCTTCTTCCCACAAATCTTTGAGATCTTCAATCAACGGCTGCAAATATACATCTATAGCATCTCCAGGACTTTCTGGACCAGGAATTAGCATTGATAGAATAAAATTGGAGGGCTTCATAATCATCGAAGGAGGAAGGTTGTATGGAATTAAAACCACTGGCCAGATACTATACGGAGTCTTAGAATGTGCAAACGGTTGGAAGCCGTCACTAGCTAAAGCAAGCCTCACATTCCGAGGGTCTGCTGAAAAAGATTGATGGAGGCCATCAAAGGATTTCCATGCTAAGGAATCACTTGGATGTCTCATGACTTCACCACCAGCCTTATTTTCATGATGCCAAGTCATTAGAGAAGCTATCTTTGTTGACAAATATAACCGTTGAAGTCTTGGTTTTAGTGGAAAATAACGTAAAGTCTTCTTCGGCAGCTTCTTTCCATTGGCTTTAGTCATGACTTCCCCACTATGTTTGTCAACCTTCCATCTAGATGCATGGCATACCTTGCAATCGTCAAGTTGTGCATCATCCTTCCAAAACAACATGAAACTATGCTCACAAACATCAATTTTTGTGTATGAGAGGCCAAGATCCTGTATGGTCTTTTTTTATTCATAATATGAGTCTAGCAAAGACGAACCGTCTGGTAATAGGTCCTCTTTCAGTAGCTTCAGCAGCATCTTAAATGACTCATTACTCCATCTTCCAAGAGACTTTATGTGAAGAAGTTTGACTATTGTTGATAGCTTTGAACTCTTACAACCCTCGTAAATGGGCTGCCCAAAGTCATTTAACAATCTATAAAACTTGTCTGCTTCATCGTTTGGTCTTTCACTGCATTCTTCCTCAAAATCCATTGCAATTTCTTCTTCGCCAAGGTCAATGCTAGGATACAAATCCCTTAAAACCCGGTGTATCTCATTCTCACTACTGTCAGCAGCATCATTCTCAACAGAATTAATAACCTCTTCATCTGCTGGACCAAATGCTTCACCTAACTTTTCTCCATGGTGGCACCAAAATGTATAGTTTGATACAATTCCATAAATGATCAGATGTGTACTTATTGTTTCACGGGTTCCCGACCTCCCATTGCTACACTTAATACATGGACATCTAATCTGGCTGCCTCTATTCCTTTGAAATGCATAGTCTAAACATTCAGAGACTCCATTCTTATACTCCTCGCTTAGTCTATTATTAACAAGCATCCAATTCTTACTTGGCGCCATTTCCTAAAACACAACACAAATGTAGAAAAATACTGAACTATTTCATACATTGATGGACTTAAAACAGGAAATGTCGTAAACTACAACAGTAAGTGTACTTACCTGGATGTTCTGAAACTGGACGAGGAGACTATGTTGGGGTCGTTGGCAGCAAGCAGCAACAAGGAACAACAAGTAGCAGCAGCAAGATCTCTCCTCTGATCCCAGCCAGCAGCAATAGGCACCAGCAACAGCTCACATCTGCTCTCAGCTAGCAACAACAAGCAGCAGAAACAGGTCTGATCTCAACACTCTATTTCGCTCCCCTCCACTATAGACACCACCAACACCACCAGCAAATCCCCCAACACTCCAGCCACCAGCAGCTCCCCTCCGCTCCAGCCACCAAAAGCAGCTCCCCCAACGCTCCAGCCACCACCAGCAGCACCAACAGCTCCCCTCCCCTCCTCCGCTTCAGCCACCAACAGGCAGCCCCAACAACTCCACTCCCCTCCGCTCCAGCCACGAGCAGATTTTCAAAGACCCTGAACTCAATAAAATCGTGCCATGAATCTTGTAGAGAACAGGGGAGAAAATCTTGTAGATAATCGAGAACAGGGGAGATGGAGATTCTTGAATTGAAAGATCACGAACTCAATAAAATCGTGCTATGAATCGAGAATTCACAGCTGAAAATTGTGGTTTTCAGATTAGGTTTACTTTCAATTTCGAAGAGAAGGGGAAAGTAAAAGGGACGGTGGAAAGAGAAAGGACTGGGTACGAAATCCAACTCTTGTCCGCCGCATGTGAAGGGAAAAAGTGGCTGAAAAAAAAAACGCTTAGATGGATTCGAACCCTTGCAACCCTTTTGGCAGTGAATTGAATGGCAGCAAGTAATCCATTAGACCAAAACAACATTTGTTGCTATTCTTTTATCCAAAAATTTTATAGTTTAAATCTAAAAACGATCTCCAAACCTAAACAATAAAAAAATTAACATCTTATTATCTCTTTTAAAACATAACTGAAACTATTAAGTATGGAACTCAAAATCCTCTACAATGGAAATAAAATATTACATCAATCGGGTTTCCAAGCAGAAAACTACGAGCCTCACAAGTTTGACGAAATCAAGAAATGCCTACAAATTGCTTAGTTTTGACTACTAAACGACCTCTTTTTGAAAAAAGTCATGACCAAACCGCCTTCGGCGGTTTGCAACCTTGTAGATCTCGAAAAGTTATATAAAATATAAAAAAAGTGTATCAATTGGATATCGGAGCACAGAGTTACGATCATTTAACGTTTGATCTAACCATCATGGGCTCGTTTGATCTAACCATCATGGGCTTGTGATCGCTAGAATTACAAATATTAATAACAGCCGGATGGATAAATTAAAACATAAATTGTCTTGGTGCAAATGGTTAGATTGATAGTTTTTACTTAATTTTTTTGACAAGCCAATGGTTCGAGTTACTAAATCAACAATTTATACACAGAGTGGAATGCAAGCATTCCTTCTCCTTCATTTTTTTTTTTCAATCGAATAATTATGCAGTGGAATGCAACTGCAACTTTTTTTATAAGGCCAGTTGGAATCTTTACTCAACCTTTACTCATAACCCTCATAACTACTCATAGAAATTTGAACACTTAATCTATAATATTACCAACTACATCAGTAGTAGCAAAAAGAGTTATAAATATTATACAATATCACATCAGTAGTTAGAAGAGTTTTAGATGTTTCTAACAACCCAAAATACATGACAACCATCCCAAAATAGATGACAACCATCCAAAATGATGTAACAGATCACAAACATCTAAAACTCCTGATCTAGAGTTAACTTTCATCCATTCCTCTAGCAGCAAAGTATGGTGTCATGCATCACCTCCAATTTGTTCTTCTACCAGCAAACTCCTACACTATATCTGCAATGAATCAATCGAGAATCAATTTTTGACAAACAAACCAAACATTAAGCACAAAACAAAAGCCAAACCAAATTATCAGATTTTGACAAAAGTGAATGATCCATACCTAGGACTGACCATTTTGATTAGTCATCGAACCTCCAGATCTTTGGTCCATCCTTTCCATCATCACTCTCATTTCAGAAATCAGTTTGGCTTGATCCGCTATTATAGTTGCCATGTCTGCCTTTTCTCCATTAGAGTGTCTCAGTTGGCTTGCCAGTTCTGCCCTGCTTAGTGCATCTGAACCCTTCAAGTCTTTAGGCCTCAACCCACCTCCATACCCAATTATATGTCCATGATTTTGTTCTCCAAAACACTTCTCGGCTAACTCTAATGGCTCCAAATCTGGATTAGCTTCGCGTGTTTCAACCAGTCCGGCCTATCAAATTGAAACAATCAATAATCACCAACCCAAATAATTATATACATCTATATGAACATTACTTAAAACTTAAAGAATCTCATACAAATCTTTCTTTTGCAGCTTGTTCTTTTATCTCATCACCAGTTTTGTGTGTCTCAAAAAACACCTGATCAATAGTTGGAGGAGTCCCTTCTTTTCCACCCTACAAACAAACATGGTTTAAATGAATTAGAAGAAACATACACAGAAACCAAAATTCTGCAGATTAGTATAAGCATGCATAGAAACAACAAATCTGCACAGTAAATTAACTAGCTATCAATGTTACAATGTTGCAAAACCATAAAGTTTCATCTACTTCTGCGAATTGTGTCCTGCAAATTATGTAGAAACAAAAGCATGCACAGAAACAACTATCGAATAACTCATTCACAACTAAATCTGCAGACATAACCAACTAATTCTGTAGACATAGCCATCGTCATTCAAAGAAACAATAAGTAGCAAGAATGAAGAATATGAAAATTACCATTTCATAATAATATTCTCGATTAGGCTTGCTTCCACTATGATGATTCATGGATTTCTTCATTCTATTCAGTGCATTATTCTTGCTCAATTTCTGCAATCGAAGATAAACACCTTAGAAACACCATTTTGATAAGTACCACTAAATTACAATTACAAGAACACGACCGAATTTCTGTAACAACCTGAAACTCAGCAGTGTAGAAAACATGGTTCACACACCATTCCCAATCTTCTTTGTTAGCTACAGCATCTGGCTTATTTTTCAAAGCCTCTTCTTGACTGCCACATGTCTTTGCATATTGACGATACAAGATAGATCTCCATTTGTTCCAACGCTCCCGCATATGAATCAAAGTGTGATGCTTATAGTCTATCATATTTGGATTGTAGAAATATTCCTGCAGTCATTTAAAATTGATTACATGAATTACTTGGCAGTGTCATTAAACAAAATCACAAGACAGAATCACATAATTACATGAATTACTTGGCAGTATCATAGACAGAATCACAAGACAGATCACATAGTTACATGAATTACATGAATCACAAGATAGAATCATCACAATACAGTAACATATTCATCCTACAACCATGAGATAGAATCACAGTGTGTTCCTTACTGTAAGTGCAGCCCACATATGCTCAAGTTCTGAGCGACTCTTGGATTTCCATCTTCGTGATCGGAAAGAGCAGATTTGAGGATTGCGAACAACTAATCCTATAAAGCTTGACCAAGTTGCCCTATTTACCCCAACAGCACGATTGTTGTAGAAGGCAATTGGAAGCTTCTCACCACGCCTAAGTCTAGCAACTGCCTTGCACATGCTTTTCCCTCGAACATTTTTCTTTCTAACTGCAATGACAATAGTTTGAAAAACCAGCACCATTAATACCAATAAAATCATCCGTACCTTCATACTTAACAAAGATACAAGCACTTCGAGTTACAAACTTGCCTCTATTAGTTGGTTCTGCATTAGTAGCCACAGCTGGTTCCACTTCTGCATCTTCAACAGCTGGTTCCACTTCTGCATCTTCCATTGTTGGTTCCACTAGAGGCGAAGGTGTGTTTCTCCCAACACTCACATTATTAGTTACATCAGGAGCTTCAAAAATGATTCAACTAGTTAGTAGTTTTCCTGAATTGTAAAGTTTTATTAAGAATTACATAAGGTGCCTACCATTCCTATGTGTTGCTTGTGGTCGTGGCATAGGAAGAGATTTGGAAGCCACATCTGATGAACATGTTATGGTGGAGAATGAAGTTGGCCGATTTGGAACTCTCCTCCCAAGCGAGCCAGGTGCAACATATTTTGCTGGAGTTCTTGTTTTTTTTGTCCCTTTGCCATTATCACGAGATTCTGTCCAGCCTTCTGGTTCTGATTACCATTCACCTTGAGATTCTGTCCAGCCTTCATTATGTTCTCTGGAGGGAAAGAAAAAGATGTAATGGGAATCAGACTCACTTTCCCCAAAATCAGATAAAGACTGCAGATTTTGAGATTGCAATTAGATTATCAGACTCACTTTTCCCAAAAATCACCCACCCTTCATCCCCTTCCCTAAAGATCACCCACCCCTAATCACCTACCCAAAATCGACCTTCCATGCTTGTTGATCCCCAAAAAGGAAGGAAGTAAGGAAGGGAAGTTATTCTAGAAGACATACCTTAGTTGCAGGGAACGGTGTTTTAGATTGAGATTGATAGAAGAAGAATTTTGCAGGCAACAATGTTTTTAAGACATGAAAAACGGAGAGAGCTTTTTTGGGATGGAGGGCTCGACAAAGAGTAGAAATGAATTCCTCATACCTGGCTACCTTTTATCTTTCTATAATTTTAGAATTTGGGTGAGCCAAGTTTTTGTCTTACGGAGCCAAAAATTGGGCCGCGAAAATTTAGGGATGGAGAGGCGGGGAATCAGTGGGCGGGAGAGTTTTGTGGATCGAAAACCATGGAAAAAACTGGAGGGGAGAGCTGGCGGGGAGAATTATTTAGCGGCAGCTTGGCGGGGATAATTTTTGGTAGGGATGGCAGGCCCGGGCCCAAATCCGGGTATCCGCCCGAAGCCCGCCCGATAGTGGCCCAGCTGGTTCTGGATCTATGGCCCGTCAACGGGTGGCGGGTGACCCGAAACCTGTCAATCATGGTTTTTGGGTGGTGATGGTTAGCTCAGTATCCGCCCCGTGACCCGCCCCGCGGCCAGCCCGACGGTTTAACCGTGTACAAAACGACGGCGTTCCAAGGGGGATATATAAACTCTCAGTTCCCTTGGAGAAACCCTAGCAGCCGCCTCATTTTCATTCTTCACCAAAATTTCCAGAAACCCTAGTTCCCTTTTTCTCTCTGCCTCCTCTCTGGCAATTAGCGATCAGATCGCTAGATAATCGCGATCTGGCCGATTTTTCGTCATTTTCCCTCATCAAATCCTCCATTCGACCAATTGCATGGCTCATAGAGCCACCATCCGACGAAGATTTCGTCGGTCGCAGTCCAAAAACGATTTGTTGCCTCGTTGGAAGTTCCAATCGCTGATTCTTCGAGAAAAGATAAGTTATTTCTGCCTTTTCTGGGTTTCTTATCTTTTCTTTCAAGAATCTTCCCTGATTCCTCGTTCCCCTAAGACCCTAACTCTCTACTGAGTACTGACACTTCTTGTACTTGTATATATAGGGGGGATTCAGGTGGCAGAGCTCGTTTCTCACCACGCCATCTTCTGAGTTCTGAAATCGAGAACAAGAACACCCCAGTCGATTCAATAGAGAGCAGAGACCGAGGGATTTAGCCCACCGCCCGAGCCTCCAGACACAGTCCAGGGTAAGTTTTTTGATCTCGTCTATAATTTTTAAGATTTATGGGTTAGTGGTCTCATAATACAGACATGCATGCATTAAATTCCAGTTTTTCTACCTTGCTTTGTGTTTTTTGTTCACTGACTCTTCTTGTTCGCTCTTGTTTGGGCTAGGTTGGTCACTTGGTCTCGTTTGGAACTTTGGATCTGGTTTACTGGTTTAGAGAACTGAAGCAGAACAGAGTCAGTGAGCAGTGAGGAGCAGTCTACTGTCATTGGGTTCTCGAAAGTCCACATAAAACTCCAATCCGAGAAGGTAATCCCAGTCCTCTCCTAACTCCTAAATCATAATCCTCAACTCACTGTGTTTGACTGTTTGTTCATAATGCTGCGTGTTGTTGTGACAATTAGTGGATTCATAATGCTAATAAGTAAAATTAATTGAACTGTAATCGTGATTTTGAGAATAAAGATGTATGTTTGCAAGTTTAGTTAGTTACATTGTGAATGTAACTAAGTTAATAACTATTATCTAAGGCTTAATGTTCAGATGGAATGTAACTAAGTTAATAACTATTAAGTATTAACTAAGGCTTAATATATATTATGTTCAGATGGAAGGTGCTCCTAATGCTATAAATGTTGACATTGCTCCCAATGTCAATGCCCCTGAAAATGGTGTCCAAGTCCAACCTCAACCTGAACAACCTGTCCAACCTGAACCTGAACAACCTGGTAATGTTGAGGAGCTTGAAGCTCAACGTAAGTCAACTTCTGATGTGTGGCCTCACTTTAACCGAGTTAGGGTTAATGGGGTTATGAAGGCTAGGTGTAAGTACTGTCGTAAATCTCTTGGTGGGGAAACAAGTAATGGTACATCACACCTAAGAAGCCATATCAAAACATGTATCCAAAAGAGGATACATGATGGTTCTAAAAAAATACTTGGTCCTAACTATAAACCCTCTGGAAATCCACAACTCTCTGCTTCTCAATACAATTATGAGGTTTTTAGGAAGGAACTCTGTTCAATGATTCTGGTCCATGAGTACCCCCTTAGCCTTGTTGATCATGTGGGTTTCAAACGTTTTTGCTGTTCTCTTCAACCTCAGTTCGCTGTTCCTAGTAGAAACACTGTCAAAAAGGACATTTTGAGTTTGTATGGTGTTGAAAGGGGTAAATATCAGACCATTATTGATGGTAACCTGGGTCGGGTTTCAATTACAACTGATTTGTGGACTGCCAGAAATCAGAAAAGGGGTTATATGGCAATAACTGGTCACTTCATTGATAACTCTTGGAAGCTCCGTAACATAATGATGAGATTTATGTATGTTCCAGCCCCTCATACTAGTGAAAGGCTTGCTGATAGGTTGTTTGATTGTCTTTTGGATTGGAACATTGATGGTAAGTTGTCCTCAATCACATTGGACAACTGTACCACCAATGATTCCATGATTTTCCACATGAGAACTAAGCTTCTGAGCAGTGACTTGTTGCTTGATGGTAAATTGGTTCATATGAGGTGTTCTGCTCATATTCTGAATTTGATTGTAAGGGATGGTTTGGATGCAATCAAGGATGCTATAAATTTGATTATGGAGAGTGTAGTTTACTGGAATTCTACACCTAAGAGGGTTCAAACCTTCTTCGAAGTTGCTAAGCAACTTAAGCTATCTTTTGAGAAAAAGTTAGTCCTTGATTCTCCAACTAGGTGGAATTCCACCTATCATATGCTCTATGTTGCTATTCCCTACAAGGATGTTTTCTTTCGTTTGAGTTTGAGAGACAGTCATTACACATCAGTTCCTTCTAGTGAACAATGGGAATTTGCTTCTACTATGATTGGGAAGCTGGAAATCTTTTCTGAGATTACTGAGTTGTTCTCTGGTTCCAAATATCCCACTGCCAATCTGTTCTTCCCTAAGATATGTGATCTCAGACTTAAACTGAATGAGTGGGGTCTTGATCCCAATCCTGTGATTTTTGGAATGGCTAGTCAAATGTCACTGAAGTTTGATAAGTACATGTTTTCCCCTTTGTTTCTTGATTGTTTGAGCTTGAATTATTGCGTCTTTGGCCTATTTTATGCTAGGTTGTATTCCTTTGTCCCATTTCAGGTCCTAGCACATAAAGTGAAGCATAGGCGCAAGTTTCAAGTCAATCAGAGATCAATTGACGATTCGAGAGAGGAAACTCGGGCATGACCTGAAGAAGAATGGATTTCTACCTCACTTTATGGACAAAGAAGCATGCAATCTTGTTATGAAACGAAAGAGGACGAGACTACGAGCGTCTGGGATCAAACGGCGACTGATTCGGAGTCCGGACGAGGGAGAAACGAAGCATTAAACAGAGGCTGAGCAAGCTGCACGGGCAGACCAGGGAGGCTGCACGGCCGTGCACGTGAGCAATATGGCCGTGCGCCTTATGCCGAGGACACGCACGGGCAACCCCTGAAGCTCGCACGGCCGTGCACCCTGGCCGTGCGAGAGGGCTGAAGTTCGACTAAATGACACGCTGCGTTTTGAGTTGCACGGCCAGAATGGTGATATGCACGGCCGTGCACCCTGGCCGTGCGAGTCGGGATTTCCTGGTTTTAAGCCAAATTCCGAACCAAAGAAGAAGAGAGCTGGGTTTTGGATCCCAAACACCCAAGGGACGAACCCTAGAGAGAGAGGGCGATTTGAGGGCATTCTTGGAGTAGAGAAGGAGGATTTCTTCGCCTTGGAAGCTCGAGGAACAAGCCCGGACTTGAAGACTGATCATCTGAAGATTCTTACTGCAGTCTCTCTCTTCTCTATGGAGTAACTTCCCTTCACTTAGGTTTTGAGGAACCCTAGCTATGT